CCCACGCTGGAGGGACGTCGCCCAGGGCAGGACTCGCCAGATGTCGACGTGGGAAGGGAGTCGGAGGAGCTGAAAGGCTGCGGGACACGCCGACACTCATCCGGGCCATTCGAAGACGACCACACATCCCCGAACCGGCTCCGCACGCTCCAGAAGACATCCGACCACTCGTGCCAGACATCTCCAAGAGTCGCCACCCGGCCGCGGTCAGCCCAGACGTCGCCCGTCCAACTCCGCACGCTCCAGAAGACATCCGACCACTCGTGCCAGACATCTCCAAGAGTCGCCACCCGGCCGCGGTCAGCCCAGACGTCGCCCGTCCAACTCCGCACGCTCCAGAAGACATCCGACCACTCGTGCCAGACATCTCCAAGAGTCACCACCCGGCCGCGGTCAGCCCAGACGTCGCCCGTCCAACTCCGCACGCTCAAGAAAATGACGAACCGCTCGAGCCAGACGTCCCCTGCAGCCAGCCAGGCCGACCGAACGCGAGACGAGGCTGCACGGTCTCAGAACAAAAGACGCGGTCGGAGCCCGTCGGTCGAGGGACCCCGCACGAAGTTCTTCGCGGAGTACGAGGGGGCCACGGACAGCGACGACGTCGGTGAGGAGCGACCCCTGTTCAGACGGCTGTTTCCCCGAAGAGACGTGAACCAGGGGGTAGGGGTCGTCGATGATCTCCCCGGATTGCCCCAGCAACAACCGCAGGAGGGAACCACCGAATCCCAGAGGTCGCCGCAGTGTGCCGCTCCAGACCTACCGCTCTTCACTTGGGAAGACGAGGTGCTGGATCGAGTACTAGACGAGATCCAAGGAGCTGGCTGGATCGGGGGGTTTCAGCGACGACATCCCCGATGTGGCGATGGATGTGGACCCCCAAGGTTCACGGTGGACGAATGCGCAATACCCCGAGGGTGGTCCGTAGCGGGCGGAGCTACCACGCTGCCTCGGACAACGATTGCTCGAATCACGGAGAGGATTGACGGCTGGGCTGGAGCCGGCAGGCGAATACGATTCGCGATGGATGACGCGGGAATCCGCTACGTGGTCACTGGGAGGAGAAGCGGAGCCTTCTTCATCGACCCCCGGTGAGCAAGGGGAGAGTGTGACGGTGTGGCCGGATGACCGCAACGTCACAGCCAGCAGATGTTCACACCGACGGGGTTGGCAACCACACCCAATGACAACATTATTATGATTATTATTCATAAGGGAAAAGTATCTTGAAATATTGATTTGTTAGCTGTAAGAATTTATAATAGATTTAAGAGAATGACCCTGAAGTCGGCGGCAAGGAGCCAAATATATATATGTTTATGTTAAATCTAAATACTTGAGATTAGAATATTAAGCTGGGTCATCAACCCCGCCCGCGTATCGATCCGGGATAAAATACCAGAAAGCGCGGAGAGGTGCCAGATAAGCTTAAGATAAGCGAGGGTTAAAAATAAGTATGCGGGCACATGGAAAAAGGGAGATCGAGGAGTTTCCGGCGAGGTGGAGTAGCGAACGGACGTGCACGAGAAAAACGCCAAGCGGGTGCGTTCTGGGAGAAAACACGTGGGATCCTAAGTGCAGGTTAGAGGAGTTCACTGTAATCGGTGCAGTAAAAATACTAATGAAATTGAATAAAGCAAGTAGACACTAACAAGTCGCCAACGATTTTCCTTGCGTAGTTTTGATAACACGAAACTCATCCCCCTTGTGATTTACCCCACGGGCACGGTGAATAAAACGTTTTGGGACGGACGATCCTCCCTGGTTAGGACGGTAAAGGGAAGGCGGATCCTCCCTCGCGCATAACTCGTTCTGGGACGGACGATCCTCCCCGAGTAGGCCGGGAAAAGGGAAGGCGGATCCTCCCTATAGGGTAATCGTTTTCGGGAAGGCCGATCCTCCCTAGGCAGGTCGGGAAGGTGGTTGCGGATCCCCCCCCAGTGAACGAAACGTTTTGGGACGGACGATCCTCCCTAGTTAGGACGGTAAAGGGAAGGCGGATCCTCCCTATAGTAAACTCGTTTGGGGAAGGCCGATCCTCCCTAGGCAGTTCGGAGGAAGGGCGGCGGATCCCCCTTAACGCACGCGAGTGATCTTCTGAGCCCCGAATTGTTCTGTCGGCTGCGGCCTCGCCCGAAGGTCCAGCCGGTGGGATTTTCCACCCCATCAGGTGAGAGCTAAACTTGAGCCCCGAAATCGTTCTGTCGGCTGCGGCCTCGCCCGAAGGTCCAGCCGGTGGAATTTTCCGTCTCCGTTAGACGAGAGACTGTTTTCAGCCCGGGATCTTCTTATCGGCTGCGGCCTCGCCCGAAGGTCCAGCCAGTGGAACTTTCCACCCCACCAGCGCAACGTCTTCCGATCGGCTGCGGCCTCGCCCGAAGGTCCAGCCCGTGGAATTTTTGGGTCTGAAGAACCCCTCCAAGACAGTCCGCAAACCTCTGTTCATCAAATGAACGGACCTCTCTAGTTCAGTGTCTCAGTGACTTACAAATTTTCTTGTAAAGGACCCCGGAATACGACTGAGATTCATATCCCGGCTAGAAAACTCCCTTACAGTAGATTAGTCATTGATTATTTGGACTGTTGTGATACAAGCAGCTGCATCAACATATTCTGGTTCTGGACCAGCGTTTGCATGGTCGCTTTCATAAATGACATGAACTCCGTCATACTTTGTTGCATGGTAAACATCATAGTTTCCAAATTGCTTTGTGGCTGGACTGGGATCTGTTGAGCGTTTTCTGAGTGTGGCTGGGGTGGATTTTCTATACCCGTTCGTAGAGCATCAGCGTAGGAGATGCCGTTGGTGGTACTGAGCGGACCGAAAGATGATCTGGCTGCCTTAGCGAAAAATACGTCTGGCGTAGTTTTTGATTTAAAATACACATTTAGTGTATTTTGTTGACGCGTAGCTGTCGCTTGACGCATGCGACTCTTCAGCTCCTTGTGGACCAGACAGCCTCTGTAGTTTGACGTATGGTTTCCTCCGCAGTTCCCACATTTTTTTTTATGGGGGTCTTCTTTGTTAGCCGGGCAGTGTGCGGAATTGTGGAAGTCTCCGCAGACTACGCAGACTGACCGAAGTGTGCAGTAAGTCCTGGTGTGCCCAAACTCCTGGCAATTTGTGCATTGCACTGGTCCGTTCCGTTTGTGAGGTTCTTCCACTGTGATCCTCCGGTGCAGTAAGAACTGTAGCTTGTGGATCGGGTGCACTTCATTTTTCTTTAGGGTTTTGCCATCTGGCTCGAGCTCGACCTTAAAGAGTGGTTGCGGCTTTTTATTTTTGTTAATAATATTGCTAACATTCTTAGCAGAGAATCCCTTGCCTTTAAGGGCTTCTAGTATCTCAGAGGGGGCGACGTCGGGTTCGATTCCTTTTAGTACTACCTGCAGCCCTTTGCTGCTTTTTAGTTGGTAGGTGTAAAAATTCTTTTTCGTTTCCTCCAGGTATTTGGAAACAGCTCGGAAGTGTTCTTCATATTTCGTCTGATCTTTAGTTTCGTGGATGTTCCCTTTAATAAGCGGAACAACATGCAAATTTTCGTCCCCGACCAGCGCAACAATTTTGTTGACCAGGGCGTTTGAGCTTTTTTCCCTAATATAAATAGGTGGGGGCTTTGGTTTCTTTTGAGTCACTTGCTCCGGCTCAGCTTGGATCTCACCATCTGCTAAGGGGGAAAATCTGTTGCTATTGTTAAAAATCATGGTTTTATCTTTGATTTGGATTGTACGGTTGATCTTTGGTTTGTTACCAACCGTGTTTTGCGGACTAAGCTTACGCTTAATCTGGATGTAGCGATCCATACCGGTCTGTATGGCCGGAACCGCTTGTTGCTTATCGTGGCTCACGGTTTTTGTTGCCGTTGCAGTTGGCGATGGAGCCGTTGACACCGTTTTCGCAATATTGGTCGTTGCTTTAGTTGTTGTCTTTACTTTTGCTGAGGTAGCAGAAATTGAAGCACTGCTTGTTGTTGGTGCGTCACCCGGTGGTGGTGGGGTCTGGCATTGATAACTCCAAGATGTAGGAGTTGGAATAAGTAGGGCTGGTGATAGAGAGCGAGCTCTCGAGCTTTCGACGGCCAGTAGGGCCGGGTTGCTCTTTGTAGACGTTTTCTCTACTTCGGTATCGCGAGTTGAGAAATAAGCATAACAAGCTTTTCTTTGGTTAAAGGAGCTTCTACGCTCATTATTTTGCTCGCCGCTCATTTATTTGAGCTAATCGCGCGTGGCAATATTTGTGAAAAACTGTATTTTATCACTTATATAAGTAATTATATATAGGGAACATGAGCAGGAGCACCCACGCGTACCCTGAGCGTCTTTTCGCGAGATAAATTTGGGGTACTCGGCGGAGCGATATAAAAACACGTCTGTTGTCATTGACAGTTGAATTCCATACTTATTCCGTTTTTTTATTTCTCACCATTTTCGTCCTTTTCTTTCAGCATGCACCTTTGCCGGGTTGAGCTGCGAACGCCTCCCCGATGAATGTGTGCCGGGGCGCCCACCAAGATGCAGCGCGTCCCGACAGACCCTCCTTTGGGCCTTTCTTCCCCTCCATCGCCCCCTCCACCCCGAGCAGCCCCTTTGGACTGGCCGCCCGGGCCTGCTTCCAGGTAAGTTCGTGATATATTTCCACTGTTCCTTGGCTTACCCTTTTTCCTTTTCTTTCAGCACGTCCAGGCTGCCAGTCGACGCTTCCTCTTTATGCGCCGGGCGCCATCCTTAGCCCGTCGCGCCCGGCAGATGGTCCTCGGGCGGACGACTATGGAGTCGTTGGGTCCATCGCTGACCCCCTCTCGCTTTGCTCCTCGCCGGCCCGCGCGCCTGGCTCCCGCCCCTCGCGGGGTCATTGACCAGTCCGGCCCATATATACAAGTATTGTATTTTTTTTCTGTGTTTGCATATATTTTTTTGTGTGTGTTTTATTGACCGGTCCACCTCCGACACTACCCGCCCCTGTCCCCAAAACATACAGCCGAATATTATACCTGAATGGGCACTTATTTCGTCTTGAAGACCCTGGCCCGCCCGCCCGCCATCTTGATGCGGTAGCGGGCCCCTTCCGACCACATTAACTTCGCCCACCGATGGGTCCTCCCTCGCTGAGCCTGCCTCTCCGCCTCGGCCCTCACCGCATCTGGGCATTCCGCGATGGCTATCTCCTGCCCGGCGGCCTCCACCGACACCGTCCTCCGCAAGGTGGGTCTCCTTGGTGCCTGGGCCTCAGGACATGACACCTGAAGGAGCAGCTTCGGCGGTCGTGGCGGCGGCCCTTGCGGCAGCGGCGGTTGCGGCGACGACGGCGGCGGCCCTTGCGGCAGCGGCGGCGTGCTCCTTGCCGCTGGCGACCCCGGTGGCGGCGGCCCTCGCGGCAGTAGTGGCAACTTCACCCACGTCGGCGGAGGAGGCGGCGGCGACGACAACGGCAATGGTGATGCCCTCGGCGGGGCCTCCCTCGACGGAGACGGTGGCCGTGCTTCTCTCGGCGGTGACCCCTTCGGTGGCGGCGGCGGGGACGGCAGTTTCGGCGGCGGCGATGACGACGATGACGACGACGATGATGATGACGACGACGACGTTGGAGACGGCATCCACAACTCGGCCTCCGCTTGCTGGAGTCGCAATTGCCACGCCTCCCACGCCGCCACCCTTTCCCTCTGCTGCTCCTGCAACTTCCGCAATGTCCATTGGCGCCTGGCCATGATGGCTGCCACTTCCGCGGGGTTCCCCGACGGAGCCTCCGTTCCGCACCGGATGAAGTCGCCACCCGCCACGGCCCGCCTGAGCTGCCGGTAACTCCTCCTTGCCTTTGCCGCCCGCCTGTCGTTGTCCTCGTCCGACGAGACCACGGGGGTCACGGTTTCACCGCCGCTGTCCTCTTCCGTCGACGACGGCTCCACCGTGACCATCTCCGCCGTCGACCTCCTCGTCGGAGGACATCTCCCTCTCCGACATCTCGCACCAGGCTGGCGACGAGGACCGCGATACCAGCGGGGACGCCAGCAGCTGGAGGGCCGACGACGAGCGCCGACGCCCCCACTTCGCCCCTGGCTGTTGCCGCTGGTCGCGGCCCTCCGCGCCGACCTTGCGCTTGCGCAGCTGCTGCAGCGGCAACGGCTGCTGCTGCTGCTGTTGCTGTTGCTGTTGTTGCGCCTGCCCTTGCTGTCGCTGCAGTTTCTGCTGCTGCCCTTGCTGGGGCTTCTGCTGCTGCTTACTTTGAGAAGTACGTCCGGCCATCTTGATCAAAATTTTGAAAGACCGAGTCTTCCCGCGTGGTTCCCCATGACAGCTCGGTTTCCTCCTTTTCGCCACTCCCGTTATTTGCTGGATTTGTACCGGTAACGGGATCCTTCCCGCCGCTCTCTCTCGGTTTATTAATGTGTATGATCCGTTCTGTGCGTACGGCTGTGTACCCTCCTCGCGCTCCAAAGTATACGTGTGTGTGGGTGGGCAATTTTTGATACTCCGTATCGTCCTCTCCCTTTCTCGCGAAACACACGTACAGTGCGCCCCCAGTATGACGGTCACCCCAATTTTTCCCCCTCGGTTGTGCTCGGCTTCAGCTCGCTAACGTGAGCCCTCTTTTCTTTGCCATTCTGGCTGTGCCGTAAATTACAAATTTCCGGGGAAATAAAATTAGTGATTGTGAATGGCCCGTCATATCTGGGGGCCAATTTCGCCGCGAAGCCTTCCACCGCTTTGGACAGGTGGTGCTCCTTGGCCCAGACCTTATCACCAATCCTTGGCGTCCATGGTCTCCTCCGCAGGTTGTAATGCCTTGCCTGATCCTGCGCTGCCTTCTCCATATTACGTCTGACGAGTTCGAAAATTTCCGACAGTTTTTGTGCATTTTCCTTCGGTGTTTGTGTCGCCTTTCCGGTCCCGATTGTGTGCTTGTCGAAAAGAGCTTTTGGCAGCCTAGGTTCTCGACCCTGGGTGACGAACGCTGGCGAGTACCCGGTGGACTCCGCCACACTGGTATTCACTGCCAGCTGTAGTTCTGGCCATTTGTCGTCCCAGGTCCTCTGGTCGGCCCCCGCGAACTGGGCGATCATCGTCTTAACTGTCCTGTTTGCTCTTTCTGTCGGGCTTTCCTGAGGCGTGTATGGTGCAGTGAATTGGTGTCGCACCCCCAATTCTTCCAGAAATCTTTTAAACGCCCTGCTTGTAAATTGTACCCCGTTGTCCGTGATTAAAACTTTAGGGACGCCGTACCGCGAGACGATTCTCTCCCTTATCGCCTTCTGTAGAGATTCCGTGGTCGCCTTCCGCATCGGCACCAACTCGGTCCACTTCGAGAATCGGTCCACCAGCACGAGCAGCATAGCATTGCCGTGTTTTGACCGCGGCAGTGGCCCGACGAAATCGGCACACACTGTCGCCCACGGCTCCTCGGGAATCTGCGTCAACATCTTGCCTGCAGCTGATTCGGCTTGTACTTCATGCAGCTCTCACAGCTACGCACGTAGGCTCTGATGTCCCTGTGCATGCCCGGCCAGTGGTACCTCGCAGCCACTCTTGCGATCGTTTTCCTGCTGCCCAAGTAACCAGCTGTTGGTGCGTCGTGATTTTCTGATATCACTCTCTGCCTTGATCCTCTGGGTATGCATAGCTTCCAGGCAACCACGTCCGCGCCGCCCTGTGGGGTATGTGGCGATACATCTGATCGCCTTCCAGCATTTAATCCGGGTATTTGTGCGGGCTTTGCTCCACCTTGTTCCTCATCTCTGCTATCCAATCGCGTCCCTGTTCCGCTGTCTTCGGGTCTGCCTTCTTTGTCTTCATGCGGCGGCATTCCGCTGGCAATGGCTGTCTTGACAGGGCGTCCGCCACGACATTAAGTTGACCTTTTCGGTAGGATATCTCAAAGTCATACTGCTGGAGTTCCAGCGCCCATCTCGCAATCCTTCCTGATGGGCTCTCGATACTGTTGAGCCATTTTAGTGCCATGTGATCCGTGATTACTTTGAAATGGTATCCCTCTAGGTACGGTCGCAACTTCCTTATGGCCCATACTATCGCCAAGCATTCTTTTTCAGTTGCGGAGTAATTTCTTTCCGCTCCATTTAGGGAGCGACTTGAATATGAAATTACTCTCTCGACTTGATCTGAATGCTGAGTGAGTATGGCGCCAAACCCGTAGTCGCTGGCGTCTGTCTACAGGATGAATGTCTTTGTGAAGTCTGGGCATGCCAGTATTGGATCTGCGACCAGCCTGGCCTTGACTGCCTCGAATGCCTTCTGGTGGTCGTCGGTCCACTCCCATTTCACCTTCTTCCGGAGTAGGGCATTTAGTGGCTGGACTAGTGTGGCGAAGTCGGGTACAAAGCGTCGGTACCATGATGCCACTCCCAGGTATTGCCTCAGCTCCTTAACGTTGGCTGGGGGTTCCAGCAACGCTATCGCCGCTACCTTCTCCGGATCAGTTCCAATTCCTTGGTCGGTGATGCGATGTCCCAAGTACTGCAGCTCCTTTCTGAAGAACTTGCACTTCTCCACATTTACCTTTAGGTTCGCTGCTCGCAGTCTTCGGAACACCTCCCTCAGGTTTCTTTTATGCTCCTCCAGCGTCCGTCCGATGACGATAATATCGTCCTCGTACGCAAAGGCGTGCGGCATCATCTCAGGCCCTATGACCTGATCGAGCGCCCTTTGAAACGTTGCCGACGCTGAGTGCAGCCCGAATGGGATCACCTTCCATTGGAACAGTCCTTTTCCTGGGACGGTGAACGCGGTATACTGCCTGCTCTTCTCTTCCAGCGGTATTTGCCAGTATCCATCCTTTAAGTCCAGGCTGCTGATGTATCGTGCCTCCCTTAATTGATCCAGGATGTAATTGATCATAGGCATCGGGTACGCATCCTTTACCGACTTTGCGTTGATTTGTCGGAAATCTACGCACAGCCTCCATTTTCCCGTCTTCTTCTTTACCATGACGATCGGAGAGCTGTACGGGCTTCTTGACGGCTCGATGCATCCTTTTTCCAGCAGCTCGTCTACCTTTTCGTTTATTTCCCCCTGCATTTTGGGGTTTTTTGGGTAGTACCGCTGCTTCACTGGCTGGTCGTCCTTCATCGTGATCTTGTGGACGGCTATGTTTGATGCTCCGCTTGAACCTTCTAAAGCTTTCAGCTCCTCCTTCAGGAATTTGGCGATGTCCTCTTCCGAAAACTGTTCTGATGTTTCTACCACTGCCACCGACAGTTTTTCTTCCAGCATTCCTAGTCTGCGCTTCCTTGCTGGTATCGCCACCTCGAGTCCTGGGCATTTTACCTCCGCTCCTATTTTTGTGAGGAAACCCCAGCCCAACACTAGGGCGTCTATCACTCTTGGGAGGATTAATAACTGCATCAACACCTTTCTCGTCCCGAGACCAACCACTATCTCCAGCTGTGATTGGATGCTCCCGCATCTTCCGTCTGCCATGCGCACCTGCCTTCTCGTCGGTACGACCTTACCGGCGGCCTGCAGCCTGTCCGCCAACTCTTCGCTTATAAAGCTTGCCGTGGCGCCAATGTCCACCGTGGCCTTCACTTTTCGTTTTTTTATGAGCACTGTGGCGGACAGCTGCATCTCTTCCGCCTTCAGGTCGCCCATTAGTTTCGAGAGGCAGCACCTTGCGATCCCTGGCCGCCCTCGGTGGCTGAGGTCGCTTGGCGTTTCCCACTCGTGCGCAGCATTCGCCGTTTATGACGCCTATCTTCCCGCATCTCCAACAGAATGCGATTCTTCTGTTTCGGCATTCTTTCGCCCAGTGGTCTTGGCTTCCGCATCTCCGGCATGCCTGGGATGGATTATTCACATACCCCGGCCGTGCGTTACGCTCGTCTGGCTCCTCCTGACAGTGCCTGCACGTTGCTGCTGATTCCCTCCTCGTGGCCGGCGCATGGTATTGGGCTTTTGTGACATTTTCTTGCTCGAACCGTTCCCGCTGCTGGTCGAGCTTCTCAAATTCGTCCGCTAGTGCCATCAGGGTATCCAGGTTCTGGCACCTGTAGGGGCGGATAAACAGCCGTAGTGTCGGGGTGCTGTTTTCCTTAATCCGCTCCAAGATTTCGTCCTTGTTCAAGCCCAGGGGTCGCATCAATGTCTGCATGTCTACCATGTAGTCCTTGAAGCTTTCGCCGTAGTTCTGCTTAGAGCTGGAAAAACATCGATGTTCACCTACATCGATGTTTCGATGTTTTTCAGAAAAAAACATCGATGTATCGCGATACATCGAAGTTTTTTAGCGTCTACTTAAAAATTTTTTTTTACTAATATCAAATATTAAAATAATATATTTAATATTTAATATATTAAAATAATTTATTTATTTAATTTAAATAAATAAATAAAATGTAAAAAAGTTGTTTTTTAATAAAAAAAAGACGCTTTGGTTGAGATCCATCGTTTTCATTATTATTTTTTCAAATTTAAAAACGAAGCTTTAACATTATCTAATATTAAAAATAAAACTGAAAATGAAACTGAAAATGAAACTTAAAACTAGTTTTTCCTTAAACGCAAAACTTAAAATAAAATAACAATTCAATAAAAAAAAAAACAAAAATTCAAAAACAACTTTGAGTTCTACTCGAAACAAAATCAAAAAAAAAAAAAAAAATTTAAATTAAACTATCCAGTCATTTTTGTTCAGGAACAAAATCATGTTTACGTTTTTTTGTTTTAGCGAGCTTCGCTTGTCGCTTACAAGAAGACCTGCCTTGCTAAACATCCTTTCACTTTCTGTGGAGGTGGCCGGTACGCAAAAATATTTTATAATGCACATTTTAAATGCGTTGTCATTTGATATCTGTGGAAAGAAAAAATTGGATTTTTAAGTTGGTTACAATCTAAATTATTATTTTTTTGTACCTTCCAAAAATCTAAGGGATTTTGTGTAGGCTCCGAATTAGAAGCATTTAAA